ATGCTGGAGTGATGATCCTTCTGAACGTCCTACTGCTAATGAATTATGTGATTTATTTTATGATATAAACAGAAAACTTTTTAGTAATACAGTGGATGATGATGTTATGCGGCAACTTAAAATTACTAATGAAAATCAAAAAAATATATCAAAATCTCAAAAGCAAGAATTATTTGAATTACTTTCATATTCAAATAAGTTACATTCACAATCATGCTATATTGGCCGATATATTCATACTCTTCACGGATTGCATGATTTATTGGAAGAAATAAAATCTGGGAAATCTTCAGGTATATTCAATAATTTTATTTAAAAATGATCGATTACAAAATTTAATTTTTTTGAATTTTTTAAATTTATAGATCCTAATTTATTAAAGCCCAATAAATCTACGATTTTAAAGTCCAATTCTTATGATACTGTTCTAAAGAATTAAAACCTATTTATGAGAATAGGTGATTCAAAATCAAACGAAAAAATGAACATTCTTTATATTTCAACCTTGGATTGGATTTGGTTCCGAAATTTAAAGAAACGTCAGAATAGATAAAAAGAACATTATTACACTTATTTTACATATTATTTTTATATTGGAAAAATTTAAAAGATAATAATAAAAAATAAAAAATAAAAAATGAATAAATATAAAAAATGAATAAAAAAATAAAAAATAAATAAAAAATAAAAAAAAAGTATTATCTTTTAATTTTATGAGTTATATTTTGTATGGGAGTTCAAGGAAATTTATTTAATTTTTTTAATCTTATCGTTCTTCAAATTAGTGCGAATGATTCATTAATTAAAAAGATCTGTGTATCTTGCTAAATTAGAAAACGGTACTGGAATTTTATCAAACAGGATTAGAAATATCATTTAAGGTCAATATGCTTTGAAAGAAATAAAAGATTCTAGATACGATTTAGTTTTCTTAAAGTGTTATGTTTATTAATATTTTGTAATATATTAATTTTCATTTAATTATTTTTCACATTAAGTAACGATGACTGATTATGAATTTCTTCAATAATTTATTTATATAAAAATAAACGATTATAAATTTTAAATTTTTTAAGTTTTTTAATCCATAGATCCTAATTTATTAAATCCCAATGAATCAACTATTTAAAATCCGATTCTTATAATATTGTTGTAAAGAGTTAGAACCTATTATGAGGACAGGAAATACAAAGTCAAACGGAAAAAAATGATCACTCGCTAATGTTTTGACCTTAGATTGGATTTGAATCCTAAAGAAAGAGGATAATAATATGTTTTTTAAATTTAATCAATTAATGATATTAGCTCATTTAATTATTGTTATTTAATTTTTATCATAGGAGTTAATTTTTTAAATTATATTTTTATTGGAACCCATTTATTTAATGTGTTTAATCTTATCGCTCTTTGTAAATTAGTGCGATGTGATAAAATGATTCACAAATTAAAAGCTCAAAACCAGAGACTATAAAACATCATCTCGAATGTTAGATGGAAATATTCCCGGAAACAATTTTGTATTGAGATTATACAACACTCTCAAATAAATTATCGATTGGATTAGACACCTTATGATGATTTTCAAAAATTCGAACACATATTGATCGTGGCCATGGTCTTCCGAAATTGGAAATTAAATAAAATGGATTGGGAATATTATTTAATTGGAACCAAATTTGCTTTGAAAGAATCATAATACGAATTCTGAAAGTGGTATATTAAATATAAGTTATTATTAATTTTCGTAATGTATTAATATGTCTTTTAATATTTTCATATTTAGATAACGACTTTAATATTCTTGATTTCTTCGCCAAATATTATTGAATTTAAAAAGATTCTTCTACACAAAACCACATTATTATTATGGATACATTGGATAATAATTTAATTTTAAATGCTATTCATAAAAATAACAAAATATGCACTTCTTTTATACTTTTCACTTTCATTCACATTTACCTATCATCCTTTGTACTTCATCCTTCATCATTGTGCATCTTCCTTCATCCTTGTGCATCCTTGTATGTTATCTTTCAGATAACTATCATCAATAATCATCTTAGTATCATCACCCGTGATAATTCACATGATTATCAATTTACACTGCCACAATATGTATCGAAAGAAGCTTTAATTCATATAGTGAATTTTATTTTGTTAACAGACAAGTATTAGTCAATAGTAAAAAAACTCCAACAAAATCAATTTTATAAGCATTAAAATTTGAGTCCTACTAATGTGTGCACGTGAAAATAATTTAAGATAAATAAATTAAACAAGCTTCCTTTAATAATAACATAAACTCCCATCCAAAAATATATCAATAAAATCAAATCCAACGTTGAATTTATTTTTTGAGTTTTCAATATATTTTTTAATTTCTTTATATAATAAACAAAATATAAAAATAAATGGCTTATTATATCCAAATCAATGTATTCTTTAAATTCTTTGTTAATCATAGCCAATACCAATACAAGGTTGAAATATAGAATGTCATTTTTCTGCTAATTTTGAATTTCAGTTTCATCATCAATACAATGAATATTGACTCTTGAAGTAATTGATTCATTGGACTTTATCTTAATAAGTTAGGATCTGAAAATTTAAAAATTCAAAAAATTTAAATAATTTGTAATTGATCATTTATTAAAATAAAATTATTGGAATATTTCTAAGAAAATACCCGAAGATTTTCCAGATTTTATTTCTTCCAATAAATCATTCAATCCATGAAGAGTATGAATATATCGGCTCATATAACATGATTGTGGATGTAACTTGCTTGAATGTGAAAATAATTCAAATAATTCTTGTTTTTGAAATTTTGATGTATTTTTTTGATTTTCAATAGCAGTTTTAAGTTGTCGCATAACATTATTATCCACTTCATTATTATAAAGTTTTTCCAATATTTCCGAAAATAGATTACCTAATTCAGTAGAAGTTGGACGTTCGGAAGGATCATCACTCCAACAC